CCGGCTCCACCGGTCTTTGACCCAATGTGGAAAAGATAGCGTTAGCTTATGACCAAATGTAAAAATAAAAATAAAAAAAAATTGAGGAATTCGAAAATTCATTTTTTCCCTCTTTCCTCCCTTCTCGACCTCGTCGCATCTATCTCTGAATTGTAATCGAGCTCAGGCATTTTCACCATGCCTCCAGTTCGTAAAAAGCGTCCCAACGCCAAGTTGGACAACACGAGAGTCCGCCCGAGGGCTCTCGAAAAATTACCTGGCCTTGCCCAGTCTCCGAAATGCGCGGAGATGAGCAAGGTCTCAACTAAAGGAAAGGAAAAAGCCCTCCCCGCCGTCACTGAGCCCGATACTGATATGATCGGGTCAGTTGAAATTGTTGAGGAATTTCCCCAACCATCCTCCGTCCCTCACGGGACTGGAGAATCGTCCAAACCTCCCCCGACCACGTCAAAATCGTCGGAAAACGCTGCACCTATATCAGCGTCAACATCAACGTCGCAACCAAAAGCTGCCACAAAAGCAGAGTGTCACCTCGAGCTTCGACCAATAGTCGAAGCTGAACAACGACGCGCCGCCGAAACAGCGGCATATCTGGCCCCCTGTTCCGCCGCCATCTCTGGCGTCGAAGCCACCCTTCTTCCTTTAACCAACGGTTCAAATAGACAATTCGTAGACTCGATGAGAGTCTACTTACGCGCCACCATTGCGCAATACATGGCCACGGGCCCGGCCATCCCGCCACCCGTCCTCCCTCCTCGCCCTGCGAACCCGACCCCAAGGGCTCCAGAAGCCAGGAGCAATACAACTCCAGCCGTCCCAGTGCTGCCTGTAAAAAGCACCTGGGCCACGGTGGCCAAAAATGGACTGCGACAAAATGCAGCTCCTATAGCAAAGGCTGTGCCGCGACCTGCGGCGAGAGCCCAAAATAAAGAAGCTCCCAAGACTAAAGTCGATAAGCGACTGTTCCTTAGCCTGGAAAAGGAGCACCCATGGCGGAATCTCTCAAACAACATTGTGAAAAGTAAGGTAGCGGACACGCTTAATCTCTCTCACAATGATATAACCTCGATTCATCGAGTAAAGACCGGCTTTGCTATTATAGCAAAGAACGAAAAAATACGACAAGAGATCCTAGATGTCTCTCCGAAGCTGGCAAGTGAAAACGCCAAACTCGAAGCATCTTCGGATCTTGTCGCCTTACAGATACCGAACGTACCTGTAAGTATCGTTTCACAGTACGGCCCCGTAGCGACCGATGCTGCAAGTGTCACCGCTGAGATCTTCCTTACGACCAGCGCGAGACCAATACATGTCCGACCTTATGGGACGTGCCGGCCAGGGGCGCCGTATCGCAACTGGCATGCCCTCTTCGACCGGGATTCCGCCCCTCCTGCGGGCTTCCACGCCACTTGTGGTTGCTCCCGCGCGCCAACCTGCTGGAACTGCGGATCAAATATGCACTCGTCTTCCGAGTGCAAGGCCCTCACCAAGTGTCGCAACTGTGGGGGAACTCATCGATCGGATTACCGGGACTGCCAAGCCAGACCCATTAATCCGGACCGGTGAACAAAGAGCAGCTCGAGTGGATCTAACATATCGAGCAAGGGAGATTCGCGGAGGTGGCACGAGCTCGGGCTGTAACCGAAAGGACCGAAGAGGCGATCATCGCCTCAGCGAAGGATATCTTGATGGCCGAGGCAACAGGTTTCGGAGTGCTGGAATCTGAAGAAGAAGTTTGAGGATACAGCAACCTCGACGATTTCCTTTCTGGGACATCTACTAACCAATAGCAGGACACCAGCTGTATTAAAGGTGCCAGCTGTAACGGCTGGTAAGCCGATTGGTCCCTGTAGCCTATGTTGGTTAACTTAGGCCTGATTCGAGTGGCGTTATTAATGGCTACCAATGCGCTAATATGCGACGCCACCCAATACAATACTTTTGCGTCGGCATTTGCATGGTATTCACATGGCATCGGACTCGGCAGTGCGGCACGGCAGTACGGCACTGCACCACATGTTGATAGGCTTACACTGACTGGGAATATACGAGACCGAGTACAATCCTTCCGGACCATAACGCGATAGTGCTGTATTACAGGCATAGTCAGAACACTAGGGGAGTCCCATAGCATAGGAACAGGAGAGGGATTAGCCTTGGTGGCGAGGAGGCATTCACGTATATAAATGAATAGATAGATGTAGTGGAAGTTCTCTCCTTAGAATTATTATTTACTACCATCGACCACATAGTTGCCCCAGCACTTGTCCCTCGAAACCGTGACACCTGCCAACTCATCTCTTGCTCTCAGCAGAGATTGAGTAAAATTGTCATTTGGAAGGTGTGACGGACGACGGAATGTGCTCCTCACACATTGGCTGGGTCCAATGTGGAGGAATCTTCTGGTTTTCGGAGCTGTTTTGATTTTCGTCATTTTCCGTTTTTATTTAATCAGCTGCACCTTTGCCAGCGGTTCATGAGGTTGGAACGAGTTCAGCTGTAAGAAAAAGTACAGGAAACCCTGCCGGATCCACCGGTCCTTCACTTAATGTGGATAAAAAGCTTTAGCTTAGGGCCTATTCGTAATTTAAAAGACTCATGAAAGCACCTCAGTTGTATTACTTTGTTTATTACCAACAGAAATTGAAGTGCTTAAGTGAAAAATATAATGAATCAATTATTCTATCTTGGTAACTCTCAGACAGCTAATATACATGTATTTTCAGCAATCCAAGCCCAAACCAATTACAATCTACCAGGCCTCGTTCTATACTCCAACTTTGACAATGAATAGTACAACAGTATCCAGCATAAGTATGAGAACTGAAGAGCAAGACTGAACACCTGTACGCGTTGTTCTCCACAAATCTAGGAGTAAAATGTTCTCCCAGAGCCAAGTTCATTCAAATTTCGCAATAACAAAGACGTTGGCCCAAAGGGCGATGATTCAATAAACTTCAACATGTCAACCTTTTACTCATAGCAAGATCGATTCCTACTGAAGTCGAATCAAGTCTGCGAGTACGACCTAGTATATCGTCGTATCAATAACCGCATCTCTCCTCGAACATTCTCAGGGCTCGGCTGGCCACTAAATATATGCCCACCGCAGTACAAATACCTGCAGGAGTATAAAAATTGACGCACACAAATTTAGAAGGCAGCACTTTGGGATGGGCGTCAGAGGGACCTTGACAAGTTTACAAGATGATGCAAAGGAAGGATACAAACTCGACGGTCATGAGATTGTGAATTTTGGCGAGGAGATTAACATGCTGAAGTGTATTAAGCGCACTGATACTTCGGCTTCGAGAGTGAAGCTGGCACTATAAAAGCAAGCCAATAATGGAAGGTGCCGTGGTCCCTCTCGTGGTGGCGTTTTCCGGTATACTTTCAGTAGCCTGGACATCTACTCTACTTGGGAAGTAGACGCCTTAGACCATATTTCGCGTAGAGAAAAGTCAATGGATGGCGAAGGCATGTCTGGATAACTTAGGGTTTTGAGACGTTTCCCTTGGTGGGTATTCACGGATGTCACGGTTCGAGTGTCGATGCTGGAGCAATCAGATATACGAAGGTAGTTTATAATTTTCTCTATGGCTAACTATCAGAGTATTACTTCAACTATTTATACATTTATGAAGATCTCTAGAATACTCGTTCTTGGCAGATATCTGCTTCTCGTATATTCCAGTCATAGTAGTTCCCAGTCTTGCCACCAATTACTAGAATATTCCAGTTACAGCTGAACTGATCTGGAATAAAGCTAGACTACTGTAGAATTATAGAAGCACATAAATACATTCACGTGCCACACCACAATCGGCTCACAAGCCGTTACAACGGATGAGGATTGACTTGGGGTGAAGAAAGAGCCACCATAAATTCGTAGTGTTACATTCAGATGAAATCCGAGGCATGAGTGCTGCTCTTGTATATTAAGACATCTTTTCTGTACGTTTTCTTTGATATTGTGTCATAGCTAGCTAGCTGCATACGCAATTAAAATCTGATGCAAAGAAAAAGAGTATAAGAACAGGGTTGATGGATCAAAGTCTATCTCACTAGTATCACATCGTAATATGCATCAGTCGGGTGTCACGCATCAAACATGGTCAATGGTGGTGATGTCAATAATCTCGGTTGTAGTCATTTTTTGGAATCTTATTTTTTCCGATCATAAAAACACTTCAAAAACACAAGGTCTAGATTTGCAACACAGAGTACGCTGGATCTTACTTTTTTGTACAAATATGATAGGGAAGGGGCGATAACATAGTTCCAATGTTGACAAACTGGGACCCTATCGATAAAACACGAAATTATACAATTTTAGTGCCGTCACGAAGTCGGTGAATAAAGTGAAGCAACTGGTATCTCGAAATTCACATGTCGTTGTCTCTACCTTTCCTCTTATTGAAACGCCTCGCTAATGGAGCTGATTCAGATCCCTGTCAGAGTTCAAACGACATCCTGATTATCACTAGTACATAGAATAATTCATAACGCCCAAACATGATCTGGTTATCGACATCCTTTTACCTCAAGAATATTTTGCCATAAAAATTGGCCTATACAAGAATCCACATCAAATACTCTCATCCTTTGAAACCCCCTTCAAGATCGAGAATGACAGATATTGTTACAAAATGAAGCTAATTATAACTTATGAAATAATAAATTTTATGGAGAGATAAGTGACAAAATTACGGGTAATGGTTTTCTGTACATCTTCTTGATTCACCTAGTTCATACTCTATCGGTGAGCATGACATATTGCATCGCAAACATCCATCGTTATCCTATCAAGCGACCTAGCTTGGCTCTCTCATTTGGCAATTGTACTTCGCCATCTCACATTCCTTCCCGGCCTCAAGTTAATGTGACGTAGTGGCACTTCATATTTTGGTAAAAGATATTGTAGAAAATTCTCCATATTGCGCCCAAAACTCCGCATAGATCTCCACCTAAATTGAACCATAGTCGTACCACAAAAGTACTTAGTTGTCAATCGGTGGTTCAAAACTAGCAAGTGTTAAATCATGATATCTGTTGAATGAGTTGTAGATATGCTTACAGATCTAGAAAGCCAAAAGGCCACGTAATAAATTTACAGCTCTGATATAAACCATTCTTTTTATCTTTTTTTTTGCTAACGAGGCCAAGAAGTTTGCAATCTGATGCTGAGAATACGACACTATTTGTGCCGAAAAATTCTAAATACCCATTAGCTCAAACAACACAATGCTCTCTCTAGTAAATGATGAATCTAACCAAGAAATGATAAAGTCATTGGTGCCATTTGTGAATCACGTGGAAAGCCAAACTTCTGAGCTTCAGGAAAAGAAATAGGACGGGTCTTTTGTTGAAAGAATGTCCAGAGACTCTTCGTTCGTTTATTTTTTGGATATGCTACACAAGCATCTCTTACTGCAGAATTGACGTCGACCATCTTATACTTTTTTGAACCGCATTCATAGCCAGTGTTTTTTGAAAAATGGCCTCTCCTGTCGAGTATTTTGAAATGAGGTTCGTTGACTGATCTTGCTAGGCTCATGGTCGAAAGAAGAAAGGTGATACAGATAAAATGGTAGATGTAGAATCTCATTTTGATAGACTTGATGGTAGCGAATGTGGAAATTGATAAAAACTGTGATGATAATTGTGCTTTAAAGAGGTGATAATGGAATTTCGATGACGAAATTAGAGAAAGTTCGACGTCGGAAGTGCTGCAGTTTATGGAGATAATAAGAAGAGAATATTAGCCTCATGGTAGGATTGGTTTGATAAATTCTTCTCTATTTAAGGAATGAGAGGCTTGATGGGTCTTTGACCAAATATAATGATTCTCCCCCAGTGGTTTCCACTTTCGATGGATCTATTCCACTTTCAGACTAATCCGGCCAAGTCCAGTGTAAAATTTTGTCAGGAGTAGAAGGTACAGCTTGTGATAGCCGTATTTTGTAGCTGCCAATTGCTAGTCGCAACATATTCTCATTTGCCACTGCAAAGTAATTTTCAACAGAATTAATTTCTCATATTTCGAATTACCATGCTCCAAGGGTTAATCTTTTAGTATTGCTCGTATATTATTCATCCGGGTCCATAGTCATCGGGCGAAGCTTCAAAGTTGCACACCTTGACCTGTAAATAGACTACACGGAGGTGGTCGAGTCCTCACCGAGCAGATGCTATAGCACGCGATGGATTTATCTTCATGCCCAGATGGGCCGACTCATGGTCGCGGGAGTTCGGTTTATTTGGCTTGGTCCAACGCGAGGGTTCCTACCGATGTATTGGTAGAGCTCGCCTCAATACTGGGCCAACTTTCACTTGGCGATTTTCCACGTCCAAACTCAAAAATAGTTGCCACTGAGATAGGCCAGATATTCTAGGTTGCCGAAGATGCACTATATGGCTTTTTCCAGTTATTGAGAAGTTAGGGCAACGGAACAAAGCAACACATAATTTATCGACATACTAGATAAACAAGCTTATTGATGCGCTAGTAAAGACGTTTAGTGACGCAAATAAGGCTCCCAGAAAGCTTATAATTGTGTAAATGAGTAAACAACATCTTGGTAGACACAGGAACGCCACGAGAGCAAATGTCAGTACAAGTTCTTCAGAGTCGGCAAGAGCAGGAAGGCAATTCAACTGATTGTAACAAATACGAAGCGCCAAGTCTGGCGTCAGACGTTCTCTGAAATCAAAATGGATATTAAAATATACCGTATGGCAGGCCGGACCAAGTCTCAAACTCATACTGCGGCATCCCCAACCAAGAAACCGAATGATATTGTATAAGACACAAGTCGGCGAGATAATCCTTTCAGAAACTCACCTCTTTGACTTTTCTGAAGTGAAAACAAGCCTGCAAAGATAATTTCTTCACCTTCCAGCGGTGCCGGTGTAGACACTCAACATGCCCTACATATCTAGAGTATCCAAGAATAACTTTATCCAACGACTTCAATTTGGTAAGTATTCTTAAACAGTTTGGTGTTCTATAACGTCTGCGTTTCTCGGCACATCACTCTAAAACCATCACCATGTACTTAGCCATAATCGGATCAGATATTAGAGTCAAAACTCTTTTTATCACCAAGAATGGGTGATGAAGTAGAAGCCATCCGGTGTGTTGGCTTGTGAGCCGATAAGTCCAGTAGCCTTGATGGCTATTGGAGGCAACCTATATTCTCTATCACTCCGAGGATTGCTAGCAGACTAAAACAGATACGTAATCGCCACCGAGGCTATGTAAAGGATAGTGCCAAGAGTATCGGAAGCGTTATCCGTGTGGCAGAACAAACCTTAAGTCGGTTTCATTGCTACTGTAAACGTAGGCTAGATTTAGATACCTCTAGATGTGTATAAGTAGCAGAGCAGACTTGCAGGTAGTTTGCTTCTCTATAGATGAATTATAGCTTTACCTTTCAATTATACAAATGCCCATTTGCTTTCTATATTCGAACTGTGATATCCGGTGAGTTTTCCGAAGCAAAATTAGCATCCGATACGGCGATGGTAGATTGGATCGGGTTAGCATCTAATATCACAAAAAAGGAAGATATAAAAAGATATGCGCACCTCATCTGCCTGGCTACCTATTTTTGTGTAGAAATTAAGAATGGGCTCTGGGTAAATACTGAGCTAAATGACTATCAATAATGGATATCATGTAAGAGATTTTTATTCGCGCCAGAATAGGATACTAGCACTGTCCAAGATGTGGTCTGAGTCAGAGAGGAGCCTAATATACTAGATAGTCTTAGGCTCAACACGATCTATAGAGGCCAAAAAATATTTAATTATATCCAAGTGCATGGCAGCACAGCAGAGAATTCACAGAATTCATAAGGGAATTGAATGTTTGCTAGCGGTATAAAGGACTGAAAATATGTTGAAATGAAATAACAATTGTTATATTAATAAAGACTTAATAAAATTACAATACACATTTCCAGTCATATATACACCATTCATAGTCCACGAGTGGTCCAGCTCTGTAGAGCCAACACTAATGTGTTCTACTCGTGTCCTAAACGGGGCGAGTGATCTGTCTTCCCGCCTCTTCTTTAATCTCCGAAGGCTACTGTCACGTGACCTAGATCTTCCATAACACAACATGTCATGCAGACTTCCTGCCCAACTGGTGACGACTAACAGTCAGGTAAATATGTGACCCATACTTTATTTACCCCTTAATAATAATGTATATATTAGGTCTCAACAAAAAATACATAAAAATGTGTCATGGCTAGATAGTTGTATTAACTGAGTACCAAGCGAAGCCTCTTCAAATCCAAACTGGTGAGTAGAATCTTAAAGATAAGCCCTCCGACTCAATCATGGGTTACAAGGCATAAGTCTTTGGGTCCACCGACAAGAAGCCATGTGATCCATCTCTTTTTTTGCATCGGATTTTGTTGGAAAACCGGTATGGGTTCGATGAGTAAGGCGGCTCAAAGAATATGGGCGCGATTTTATGAATAGAATAATAATGATATGAATCGGGAGAATATGTGATATACTGTGGAGAAGTAAAAGATGGTTTGAATAAATTGAATTAGATTTAGATTATCTGTCTTAGTGATTCTTAGACAGCTTATATACATGTAATCTTGAAAGACCAAATCCAGACTAGATACCATCCATCACTCGTTCCATACTCTAACAATGACAATGAAACGCACGACAGTATACAATATGAGTATGGGGTCAGGGTCGGTGGATGAAAGCCTACACGTGTATCAGACCATACCATGCACTAGTCGAGTCTCAAGCATCAAACATGCTCAGTAAGGGAGATATCAATCATCTAGGTCGTGAGTCATGTGTGAGAATCTTAGTTGTTCCAATCATGGGAAACTTCAGACACATAGAGTCTGAATTTCCAACAGATTTTAATTGCGTGTGCAGCTAGCTAGCTATGACACAATGTAGGATAAAAAGTACATTGTAGATGACTTAATGTAAAGGAAGAGCACACATGCCTCATATTTCATTTGCAAGTACCACAACGAAGTTATGGCGACTTTTTCTACACCCCAAGTCAACCATCATCCGTACATACCCGCCCAAGGGAACATCTCAAAACTCTAATTTGTGCAGACATGCCTCCGCCATCCATTGATCTTTCTCCGCGCAGAATGTGGTCTGAGGCTTTCATTTTTCCAAGAAGAGTAGGTTTTAAGATTTTCGATTTAGAAAGCTTGGGCGTTTGTATGTCAAAATATAATTTGTTTATTAACCAAAGAAAAAAAATTGTACAACGGCAAGAAAACAGGTAAACTTATGATGAACAATAGAGAGTCACTTATCCAAATACACCAAATGCTTAGCAGGGCCAGGAGCTGCATTGACACACAAATAAGAAGTTTGCACATTGGGCTCAATGCTAACTTATATAGAAGGAATATAACAGGAGTAGGAAAATCCCGCTGCCAATGTGGATACCCGTCCCAAAATTTAAAGTACATGGTGATTTCTTGTCCAAGACGGGCAGAGGGAAGAGGCGAGTTGCTACGAAAATCGACAACTCGATATTTCGAAGCTATGGTAAATAACGTCAAAGATGTTATTAAAGTTCTAGGGGGTATCTGGAATGATAGAAGTGAACGTTGACCGTCAAGTCAATACTGTACGAATCGTAAAATATTGAGGATTTAAGGATCAGGGATAAAAGGTTAGGATCAGTGAGGTTTTTTGGTTTTACTGGACTTATATTTAGGTAGACGAAAGTGTTAGAGTTTAATCTACATCTAATTGTCTATCTATGTTCTACCTCGCTTAGGTAGAATCATGTTGGAAATTCAGACTCTATGTGTCTGAAGTTTCCCCATGATTGGAACAACTAAGATTCTCACACATGACTCACGACCTAGATTATTGATATCTCCCATACTGAGCATGTTTGATGCTTGAGACTCGACTAGTGCATGGTATGGTCTAATACACGAGTAAGGCTTTCATCCACCGACCCTGACTCCATACTCAAGTTGTATACTCTCGTGCGTTTCATTGTCATTGTTAGAGTATGGAACGAGTGATAGATGGTATCTAGTCTGGATTTGGTCTATCAAGATTACGTGTATATAAGCTGTCTAAGAATCACTAAGACAGATAATCTAATCAATTCAATTTATTCAACCAATCTTTTATTTCTCCACAGTATATCACATATTCTCCCGATTTATATCATTATTATTCTATTCATAAAATCGCGCCCATATTCTTTGAGCCGCCTTACTCATCGAACCCATACCGATTTTCCAACAAATCATTATGTTCTGATTACGTGATGGAATAACATTCCCACCACTGAGATCATTACCAACCGAGACCGCACCAAAGCTGGTTGCGATCGAAGATGATTAGTCTTTGTCTACTCCGCACCGCGTGCAATTCGCTCTAGTATGTCTAGATTTCAACAACATGGACTTAATACTTCGGGTACTTTCGTTCTGTGTAAATACGAGTTGAGCACCATGAGCTCACTTCGTATTTGCATCGCCAAACTACTTTGGGCCCTTGTCAGATTACGATGTAGAAAGAATGGTGAGTCTTGAAAATCCATTTTTTTGTATGGGATTGATAGTTTTTGTA